CCCCGTGTCCCGCTGCTGCTGCTGCCCCCTCCACCTCACCTGCCTCCCGGATGAGCTTCCGGGCCTTGGCTTCGGCAAGGGAGGAGATCTCGGAGGGCCGGGAATGGCTGCGGGCCTCCTGGAAGTCCCGGAAGGACACATTCTTGCAGTAGACAACGCAGTCAGACAATGCCTGTGCCACGCTCTCCTTGTCCTTCTGCAAGACAGGGCCATGTTGGGTTCCTCCTGGTGGGAGCACCGATCCCCAGCACTCACCCAGGATGGGGGCTGTGGAGCCTGGGGCAGCCAAGAACAGCCGGGGGACGCTGGGGCTGGCAGCATCCCCACCATGGGCAGCCTTCCTGCCAGGAACGGAGCTGGCAGGGGACCCCCAACATGGTGCCACCACAGGGACACTGTGAAAAGAGGGGGCTGGCATGGCCAGGGGCAGAAAGGACTGTCCCCCCCTGCCTGGTGATGTCCCTGCAGTCTCTGCTTCTCCCCTTGGCACTAGGATGTCACCACAGCCCATAGCTGTGTCTGGGGACTCAGCACTCATGGCCAGTCCCCAGCCTGGGCCACCCACCTTCGCTCTCCGTCTTTCCTCCTCTGCCTCTGCCCCGTTGTCATCGTCAGACACATCAGGCACCTCATCCCCCAGCCCGTCCAGCGTGTCCTCCAGCCGCCCGATCTTCTTCCCCTTCAGCAGGATCTTGTGCTTCAGCTCCTGTGGGGTTGGGGATGGAGAAGTAGGTACCTTGGAGTGCCCATCTCCTCCATGGGACTTGCTGTCCCCTGGGACCCCGCACTGCTGGAGGCCAGCGCCACCAGCTCCCTTCTGCACCCAGAAGGGGACAGGGTAGGAGGGCTCTGCCCTGCTGACTAGCTCTGCAGGGCATGAGGAGACAACCTTGGGGACAGCTTTGGGACACCTGTAGACATGAGGACATGGTGTCCCCAGCTTCCCCAAGTGCTCCAGCGGAGCAGGATGATGCTGGGACAGGGGTGGCCTTTCCTCTGGACAGCAGAGCCACTGCCTCACCCCACTCCCGGTCAGGACAGCGATGTTCAGCACGTCTGTGCTCTGTTCCTACCTCTGGGGATGGGAGCTGGGTGGGGACGCGCCCATCGGTGGTGGTGGTGAGGAGCTGTTCGCCCAGGATGGCCTTGAGCTGCTGGGCCAGGACCTCCTGCTGCTCCATGCTGCAGTGGTTCTCCAGGGACAGGATCACTGGGTAGTCTGAAGTCTGAGGAACAGCATGAAGAGCTGGAGGTGAGCCTTGGTGGGGTTGGGGAGCTCTCACAAGGGCTTTGCCCAGGCATGATCAGTGCCAGAATGGAGCCCACTGTGTGTCCTTGTATCCCACTGAGATCTTCATACCCCTCCAATACTCCAGAATCTCCCATATCCCATCTCACCCCACATCCCCCAGGCCCCATCTCACCCCTGAACCTCCAGCAGACCATGCCTGCCTGAGCCTTTGACCACCAGCATGGCGCAGAGCTGTGGGTCAGACCCCCCCAGTGCAGTTCCCCAGGAAGGGACACAGCCACCCTCCTCTCCCACTGTGGAGTCAGACCTTCTGCAGTACCAGGCATGTGAGCCTCGTCACCAGTGAGACCCATCGCTGCCCCAAATCACAGCCTCATCCCCCCTGCCCACTGAGGGCCACGAACGACAGCGCCCAGGGAAGGGTGCCCTACCTTGAAGGCGTACTTCCCCAGGGTGCTCACCACCTCCCGGAAAGGGATCTTGGAGGTGAAGGTGTGGCCATGGTACACCATGGGCTCCCCATTTGGCCCGTCCCAGCAATCCACCTCCAGGCACCGGCAGCCCCGTTTCAGAGCCCTATGGGTGGGTGGTCATCCCTGGGACCCTGCACCCAGCCAGAGCACCAGCCCCCTGCCCTCCCCTCTGCCTGTGGGTGTCACCCCTTGCAGGGGACAACCACCAAGGGTGGAGATGCTGCTGCATGCAGGGCAGGAAGAGGTGGCCTTAGCATCCCCAAAATGGACCTTCTTGCTGGACATCACATCACATGGCCACAGGGGTGCTGGACCATGGAGGAAGCAAAGAAGCTTCTGGGTTTGCCCCATGGAGCTGCCTGGGGCATGGCACTGGGGCAGGAGGGCGCTGGGGGGCAGCTGGGAGGGAACAGCCCCTTTACCTGATATAGCCCTCAATGCTGCTCTGGCCCCGAATCTGGTCCTCTATCAGGTAGGTGTTGTGGGAGGAGGAGATGAAGTAGTGGCAGAGCGGCTGGCTCATGTCCTGCCACAGCGCCCGGTGACGGGGGTTGAAGATGGAGCCCTCCGGGGAGCAGAGGTACATGAGGAACCCATCGGCACTCAGCACGTGGCGAGCCCGGGCTGCAGGCGGAGGGGGAGGCTCAGCGACAGCCAGGGACCCGGAGAGGACAGGACTGTGACAAATGGGACTGCTGGTAGCTCCTACCATCCCCAACCTGGTGGACATGGCTACGGCAGGCTGGCGCACAGGGAGAGATACCCCAGGCCAGTAACCTCGGGAAGGTGGGCACCAGACCCCAAAGCCAGGGCTTGCACCCCATGGCTGGTCAACATTCTCCACCAAAATGGTCCAGGGATTGACCAAAAAAAAGGGAAACTGCACCCAGATCATACCACCCCCTGTGCCCACCCGCAGCAGGATGGGGCTGGGGGTGCCCCCACCGTGGGGCTGTGGGTCTCGGCTCCCTCCTTCTCTCCATAAGGAGCACAGCCGACATCCGGGCTGGCTCTCACCTGTCTCCGACGGCTCGTACTTGTCAATGAGTTCCATGGCCAGCTCCTCCGTGCCCTCATCCTCCAGCTGCTCCTGCTGCAGGAAATCCACCAGCTCCAGCAGCGTCAGCTTCTTCCCATCCTCAGAGAAGTCCTGGAAGAGGCTCAGCACCTCCTCACGCTGCGTAAGGGTCTTGTAGAAGAGCACGAACTCTTCCCCTTCCAGTGTCCCCGACTCCGACTTGTCAGCAGCCTGCAAGGGAGCTTGCTCAGCGCCCAGCTGGGGCAAAACAGGGTGCCCCAGCCTCCCCATGGGGCCATGGGGGTATTTGCCCACCCTCAGCGGTGGGCACAGAGACTCCTCACCAGCAGCAGTGGTAGGCATCGATCAGTGTGTGAAGGGCTGGATGGGTGAATGAGTGGGTGGGTGGATTGGCAGACGGAGGGCTGGTTGGGTGAACAGACAGATGGATGGGTCCATGGAAGGAGAGATGGACAAACAGGTGGAGGGGCAGATGGATGGACAGACACAGGGACACCTGGCTGACTGCTTGGGCTGATGGATAAATAAACAGATGGCTGGGTGGCTGAGTGGACAGATAAGCAGCTGGGTGGGTAAATGAATGGGAGAGAACAGCTGCCTTGGCTGGTTGCATTAGCAGATAAATGAACAAATGGATGTTTGTCTGGGTAAGCAGGTAGTTGGGTGAATAAATGGATGGATGGATGGATGGATGGATGGATGGATGGATGGATGGATGGATGGATGGATGGATGGATGCACAGAAGAAAGTGAACACATCCTTCTGCAAGGAGGGTGTTGTGCAGCTTCTTCCAGACCCTCCAGGCCCTCCCCAGACCCTCCAGGCACTCAGGTGCAGTGCTTACCTGGAAGAGCCTCAGGGCATGATCCTCGTTCATGTCCACATTCATCATCTTGAGGAGATGCTGCACCTCCTTGAAGTTCATGCGCCCGTCCTTATTCTTGTCGGCTTTCTGAAACCAGTCACGAATCCACGTGCAAGAAACCAGGACAGATGTTAAGGGAAAGGACCTTGGCTAAGAGAGATGAAGCTGGGGAGCATCAGAGAGCCTCTTTTCCTTCTTCTGTGGGGTCTCCCTGCTCTGATGCAGATGGTGAGACCCAGAAGAGCTAAGCACACACTGGGGCAAGGCAGAAGATTGGGGAAGGACTGGGTGTGGATGGCAGAGCAGTGCCTGCAGGAAGGATATTGGTCTATCTTCTCCCTCTGGTCCATGCTGGTGGCCACCTCAATGAGCTGGCGCAGGCCCTGGACCCAGCACTGCGCCTCTTCCGCTGAGCCAGCAATGAGGTCCAGGTTGCCCCGGCGGCCATAGAAAACGATGGTGAAGCAGCGCTCAGGGGGAAACTCCTCAGCCAGACTCTGCAGCACCTCCGACTGGTGCCCTTCCCGCACCGTCTCCACATCGCTGATGGAGACTGGGGCAGAGGGAGGGGAAGCCTGTCTGTTGGGGACAAGGACTGCAGGGCAGGGGGCACTGCCCATAGACATCTGTCCTTCCAGCCATCCCTCCTTCCACCCATCCATCCATGGACTTACTTATCCATCCTGTCATCCATTGAGCTACCCATGCATCCACGCCCCTGTCTGCCCACCCCTCCACTGGCTTGCTTCATCGAGAGGTGTGGGTGAGAAGAGCCTACACACGCACACAGAGACTCTCTGGAATGTCCCAGCAGCCTTTGCAAGTATGGCTCCAAGAATCTTCATACATTCACACACCTGTTCACTCTGAACCCTAATGATGGCCCTGTGGGCAACACACAGCAGCCACTACTCACAGGCAGACTCAGTTTTGCCTGTCCTCTTGGACTGGTACCAGATGGTCATACAGTCATCCTGCAGCTTGAAGTAACGCTGCTTCTTCCAGCTCTTGGACTTGACTTTGCGCATCAGCGTCCCTTGCTGCATCTGCTCCAGCACATCTGTGAGCTGGATGCCTGGGGGCAGTGTGGGCTGCATCAATTGGGGGCCGGGGTATCCAGGCACTGCGCCCTGCTACCTCGCTCCCTCCCGCCTCAGGGACGCCACGTGGCCCCTCAGTTTGGGCTTGAAGAGAGATAGACCCCAAACAAACTCCCTTTGCCACAAGAGGGGCACAAAGTAATTCCCCACTGATCCTTCCCACCTGCCCTTGGCGCTGCCAAGCCCGAATCCCAGTGGCTGCAGTGGGGTAGGGATGCTCCCGAGTATGGCAAAGTGAGCTCAACCCACGGGCCAGATTTGCCCCGGTGTAAATCCGGATGGCCCAGTGCCCTGCCCTGCGCCTCCCCACCGCCGGAGCACTCACGGGCGTTGCACAGCAGCGATGCCATGGCTCTGCCTCCTCTGCGCTGGCAGTTACTGGGGAGGGAAGAGAGAAGGCAGCTGGGGGGGAGCAGAGCC